TTTCATACTGCGCTGCCGGAGGGGAAGTGATGGGCAGGATGAAAAGCAGAAGCAGCTAGGTTTCTTTAACAGGACATAAAAGTCTCTGTGCTGTTCACACAAACAGTGTCTATATATACAMAGAGTCTATAATTAGAAAAGCGCTCCGTAGCTGTTTGACGAGCCGACATTGGCTGAAATTAAAGCAACTTAACATCAGCGATGGTTTGAGTGCAAAGCATGATGGCTTCAACTAACAAATAGGCTTTATATTCATATGTATTTAGTTTTGCACAAAAACGCAGGTATTTTTTTGATTTCGTGCAACTTCTGCTTGGTGATTTAGCATTTRTAATGTAGCAGCATAAACAAAAGAGGAAGAAAGTATTGAATAACTGTATTTTTACAGCTCCAGTTTGTGTGGGCTTGTTGCTCCAATTGTTTATTTGTACAGTATGTTTCCCCTAATCGTTTTGTCTGGTTTAAGGTTCTTTTTGGCACCTACAGTATACAGATAAATAAATACGWAGTTCAYCAGGACAATATACTGTATATGAGGATCTTTTAAAGTTKATTTTTTATTGTATGCTGATTTTTTAAATTGCGTTTTAAATGTTGCAAATGTGAACAATCTGTATTAACTTTAGCTCTTTAAAGGGTGGGTACTGTGCAAAATCAAMTTTTTTGAGGTTTATATCATGTTATAATGTCATCAAAAACAGTGAGTGTTGCTTTGAATCCTTGCATCTAATGTGGTAGCCTGCTTTAACGTTGCTGGAACATAGCTCCGCCTCTTTGTACAAAGCTCCTTCCTGCTGGGCTGATGGTGTGCTGTCGGCACCGGGGAAAGACAGAACGTGAGGTGGGTTGGGAGATGGCTATTTAATTTTGTTTATTGTTTTTTAATGTACAGTCTCTGAGATGTAAAAACAAATTAAGCTGAGTTTTTGAATAAGAAAAAAAATCTGTAAAATTGCCTTATACGTCCGTATGCCTGCAAAATGAACTATGTGCCTGGAAAATACATAATACCCCCTCTTTGAGGAAGACGTGACCCTTAATACCGACAAATACATTGGTACCTTTTTTTACACCAATTTATTGAAAACTGTTACTAAACAGAAATGGAAGAACCAAGGGCAGGGGTTAGAAAATCTGATTTTTCTAGCAAAAAAAAAAAAAAAGCTGGAAGGGATGGGGAAACAAAAGCAGGGGATTGAGTAAAGAACATAACTCATTTCACATTTAAAGAGCTGCAGGAATAGCGTGGGCGACACTGGAGAACCCGATTCCCTGGAACCCTAGAGAAAGCAGCTTGACACCAACCCCATCTCCAGGCTAAACACGCTACCTGTCACAACAATATGTGTGAAAATACAGCCATTTGTTTGTACAGTACACACACACACACGCAATCTTAAGTGACAATACCTTTGACCTTTACACTGATAGCCAAACAGGGATGATAGCACGATTACATAACTACAAGTATGTAATTTCTCACCACGCTGCTATAATTAATATGGGTTTTTTGTACTTCTTTTCATTTTTTGGCTCAAAACTGGAACAAGCAAAGATGAAATATGTATATAATTCCAAGAGAGAACAGCAGTTTAGAGATTTTGGAAATGATGCATGTCTGTGGAGTTGCTGTGGTTTGCACAGACTTGGCAGTCAGATTTGGTGGTTGGTGCATTATGTGTGTTTTGGAGAGAAGTTCCAGGATAATATAACTTGAGTTGCTGAGAAAAGAAARAGGCCATGTCAGTAAATGTGCGGAGCTCACGGTGGACGGGCCCGGATCAAACAATTTGGATCGAGCTGAAAGTCTCGTCTGATCTGAACTTCGTGGGTGATTTAGTAATTACAAGCGGCAGCAGATCTTCATTGTGGCAAATCCCATGCGCTGATGGGTGTCGTTATTACATGATTCACTGCTGTCGGAGAGCTTACTGGCTTAAAAGTCTGTTGTTGGAAATGTCTGGAGACTATTGGTGTCTATAGTCTAATTGTCTTAAGGCCAAAACCATTTATGGAGGCGTCTGTTTGGATTAAAGGATCCTTTCACCAAAGTTAGAAAGAGAAGAAAGAAAAACTGAATTTATGCAAAAAAATATATATAGAAAATATCTCTTTCCAGACTTGATGACTGCTTTTCTGCATAATTTCCAGGTCAATAATTTTTTTCAACAGGTAATACCAATGAAAACTGGCCTAGTCATCGCTTGCTGCCCTGAAAGGTGGGCAATTATGTAACTGCCTGTGTCTGGTCTGTTAGCATACTGTTATGTGTTTTTAGTGAAAAAGTTAGAATTGAGATGCTAAATGTTTTTTTATTAATTTTTTTAGCAACTGATTAACAACTGAAGTCAAACCAATAAAGTTTTTTTTTTTTTTGCCTATTAGCAGAAATATTTATTTTTGTCAAACTATGGCATCACTTAAATATTCAAAGTTATACATTCTGTCTTTGGTCATAATTCTTTAGAGAAAACTAGTAAAGCAACCAAAAAACTGCATGGGCCCACCTGCAAGGCCCCTTCTCATGTGGGTTCTTAATCCATCCCCACTCACCATAACTATAACCAAAAAGCTGAAACGTAGCTCACATCTTTTGAATTTCAGCTTGATTTGGACATCAAAAAGGTCTCTTTTATATTATTATTATTATTATTATTATTATTATTATTATTTAAACTAAACACATCAAAACACACACAAAAAATGGTCATTTCAGTTTGGGAAGACAAATTGAGAACTACTTTTTTATACAACCAGAAATCATTAGCTGGAGGATATGCTAAACAAAAGCAGTAGAACCATTACAACAAAGTAACGTCTGTCTTCTTGTGTATAAAAGAATTCACAATAAATCAGCTGTGACACTGCAGTTCTCTTTCCTCTGACATGGACTGAAATCATCCTTTGMCATTCTTTTTCTTGCCCAAACGAGAAGACTGTGGCACAGTGGTAGGGCGGACGACTTTGAACAAGAAAGTCGCAAGTTCAATTCCCCACCATTGCCCGCATGTTGTGGTGTCCTTGAGCAAGGCACCCAAACCCCAACTGCTCCCTGGGCAGCTTAAATAGCTGCCTGCTGCTCCACTTGGGTGTTTCTCACTTGTGATGGGTCAAATGCAGAGCACAAATCTCGTTATTGTATGGGAACATACATGCACTGATGAGAAATAAAATACATTCAAAAACTGACARCACTGCTGCCTATCGGACCAGAGTTTTAAACAATGATCATCTTTCTATGTTAAAATCTTGTATATACATTTGGCCCGCAGCCCTCGGATAGATTTTCATTTTGGCCCTCTCAGGGAAAAGGTTTGGGCACCCCTGCTTTAGATTATTGCAGCAACATCATGGCATATTCAAAACAAGGAGGGGTCATTGTGCTTTGGATTATAAATGGAATATCACATTTGTGACAAAATTTAGAATATATTTGTTCTTTTTTTAAAAACAAACAAAAATGTAGCACTCAGAGTCTGTATTTTCCTGATTTTACACATCAGACAGTTTAAAGACATGCTTTTTGAATAGACCGTTTTCTGTTATTTAAAAAAGGGGGTCTTTTAATGTGCTTTTTGTGTCTTGTTTTTTTTTTTTTTAACTCTGTGGTCAACCAACAGATGGGGTGTGGTGGCCTCTCTGTGTAGCTTGGCAGCGGTACAAGCCAGGCCCAGATTTTCTGATGCGGTGATGTGGAGAGCCTGTTGGGAAACTGAGAGGCAGACTGTGCCGAGGCAAAAAAAAAGAGGGCAAAGACAGGGTGTGTGTTGGTGTTTGCAAGGAGGGCGTGTCTGTCGGTCAGTGTTGAGGTGTGTGTCATTGTGTCATTCCAAGYACCCCGGTCCACCTTCCTGTAAGTCGTTAAAGCCCGGCCAGTTGGCAAATCTTAAGTCTACAATAAGAAAAACAGAGTTCGCATTTTTTTTGTGAGCAAGTATGTAATTCTAAAACCCCTGAGTATTCCCCTGTGTGTTTCTACCTGTGGTGTCCTGTGTGCTGTGGCCACTGAAGTGAACCAGCCTGCATTAACTATTCAGGAGAGCAGGGTTTCCCTATGACAGCCGGTGTCGCTCTGCTGACTTCTGATGGACGCTCTCATCTCTCATATCCGTGGAAAACCTGTTTGAGTGAATGCTTGTTTATATCTGATGGGAAGATTGGATAACATTTCTTCTTTGTCTTGCTTTTCACATTGATTGAGTTGCTGGAAAGGCGGGCATGTGACCTAGTTACGCATGTGTATGAGTGTGTGTGTGTGTTGGTCGAGGGGGGGGGTTGATGTGTGTTTTAATACAAATGTGGGATTAAAGCTTAAAGGTGCCGCATATTTGAAGAATCTGACAGAAGTGAGATTTTTTCTGGATCCTATATGATTATTCACATTAACATAAACTTTTTTTTTGCAAAACAAACATTTTCTGTTACGTTTGTACCTTTTAATCAACACGTAAATGGTATTTTTTGATTAAAAAAACTTTTTCTTGTTTTTTTTTTTTACAAACTCTTTCCAAAACGTACTCTAAAAATTCTCATTCTTTAGTGTGACAATTGAAGATTTTGGAAAAAGATGACATCATAGTAGGCAAGCCCACCTGGGTTTTGTGTTTTATTGTAAKTTATAAAGAAAAAGGTTACAGTTMTTCTGGTAAAACAAGTATGCTCAGAATGTGCTTCCTTTGGATTTTTACATTATTATTGATGTCAATAATAATAATAATAATAATAATAATAATAATAATAATAATAATAATAATAATAATAATAATAATAATAATAATAATAATAAATTAGTGGGAATTTTTCCTCTGCATTTCTCCCATCACAGATATGGAACAGAGTTTGTTTACTGCCATCTAGTGGTGCTGCAGGAGTATTTTAGTATTTAGTTTGAGTTTTTGCTTAAAATGATGGAGATATCACTGATTCTGCCTACTAGGAGGACTTCTAAAACTTTTATAATTTTAATAGCTGCATGTTTTTTTCTTTTATCTTTACTCTAGTTCCCTGAGTGTGGTTTTTACGGCATGTATGACAAGATTCTGCTCTTCAAGCACGACCCAAGCACCAACAACATTCTGCAACTGGTTAAATGTACAGCTGACATCCAGGAGGGAGACCTGGTGGAGGTGGTGCTCTCTGGTAAGTACTTTATCTTATTCTGTATTCTGTTCTTCTTATTTAACGTTGCTGCAGTGTACTTTAAAAGTWAAAAAACCTGCATTTTCCCCTTCTTCCTGTCTTGRAATAAATCAGCTTTTCTTTATTTTACTACAGTATTTTTTTACATTCCTTTTTTTTGTTTAAAACTCTTCCATCAGGGAGAAACTCTTTTTTTCCTCTTTTAGTTTTCATTCTGTCATCAGATCCTTCATGACTGTTTCCTAACAGTTACCACGTTGTGCCCCTCTTATCATTTTTTCAGCGGCAGCCACTTTTGAAGATTTCCAGATTCGACCCCACGCACTCAACGTGCACTCGTACCGAGCCCCGGCCTTCTGTGATCACTGTGGAGAGATGCTGTTTGGACTGGTCCGACAAGGGCTGAAGTGTGATGGTGAGTGGGGAGATGAAGTGTAAATGATGTAAAATGTGAGAATGGCTCGGCGGACACGCTCACTCTCATCACTCTCTGCTGCTGAGTGGATGCTGGGCCTCTCTGACTTTTTGATCCATGCTGCCCCCTGCAGGATGTGGCCTTAACTACCACAAGCGCTGTGCGTTCAGCATCCCGAACAACTGCAGCGGAGCTCGTAAAAGACGCCTGTCCACCACCTCCCTGAGCAGCAGCCAGTCCCGGCGGCTCTCCACCACGGAGTCGGTGCACAGCGTGGGGTCAACCTCCACCTGCAACGAGGAAACCAACCTTATTCGCTCTCACACACAAATGGTAATTCACTGGCTGGATGTTGGAATGTCAGACTGTTTTAAAATTCATTACGTTTTTATTGCGTACATCTTGTTAGTGTATTTTAAATGCTGGTAAACCACTGGCATCCAGACTGTAAGTGCATTTTCCTTTTTAACAAGGTTTAGAAGTACCCGAGAGGCACTGAATGTCCTAAAAACACAAACATGGCTGTTCAGGATTTCATACTTGAAATGGTTTTCTCTATCAAAGCCATGCAGGTAGTTTTGCTGATGTTTATCTGACAACTTTCCAAACAACCTGCAGGACTGCGTTCCACCCTGTTTAGTCACTGGAATTCACGTGAACTCGTGAAAAGTTTAGGGTAATCAAAGCAGCAGCTGTGCTCATTGCAGACTGTTTTCTCCTGGTAATTTACTCCAATTATGAATAGAATGAAAGAAAGTTGCTCAAATTAAAAACCACTTTACACTGAAAGTAGTTGTAAAGTGTTAAAACTGCAATTCAATCAAGCTCTGTGGAGCTTTAGGTTATTATTTGACTTTACTTTTATTTTGTTTTAGCTTCTACAATTCTGCAGAGCTAACCTTTATGTCAGAGGGGTCAAACTCAGTTACACAAGGGGGGCAAACTTTAAAACTCTGTCCAAGCTAAGAAGCAATTTCTGTCAGTATTTATAGCAACAAATGTTATATAACAAATTATTCTGCTATAAATACAAATAACCTTCTCCAAATCATGTTTGATGTAACGTTTAAAATACACATAAACTAACAAATAAAGAAAAATGATTAAATTAAAAAGGCGCAACATTAATTTTCTTATGCCCAAACTGCATTTTTCATTTATTATGACTTAAAGATGCATTTGATCYCAATCCAGCAAATCAGGTAAAAAGAATAAAACCCTCACAAAAATTTCAATCATTTGACTTTAAAATAATAAAACAAAAGATGAAAAGTTGATTCTAATAACAATTAAAGATTATTAAAATGTTCAAATGTAATTTTCTTGGCTTGAAAGAGAAAAACGCACTGAATACAGCGACGAAAAGAAATATCATAAAACGATTTCACATTTCAAGTATTTGGGTGCAGATGAAACGTTAACAAGGACCTTGAGTTTGACACGTGCTTTAAATGTGACATAAAAAGAAAAGTGCGTTTCCCTCAGGAGATGCTGAAATATGAATTGAGAAATATGATTTTCCAATTTGTGCAGACTGACTGCATTTCTAAAACTTCAGCAAGAACAACTGCTTGAAACAAATCAGCGTCGCTCATTATCTTTGTTTCAATTATTTTAGCCACGAACAGCGAGCGACGTGCGGCGCTTCTACACGGGCCGACCTGTTCATTTGGACAAGATGTTGATGACGAAGGTGAAGGTGCCCCACACATTTGCTGTTCACTCGTACACCCGGCCCACCGTGTGCCAGTATTGCAAGAGACTTCTCAGGGGACTCTTCAGGCAGGGTCTACAGTGCAAAGGTGAACACAAWCAAAGACGAGAGCACTTTTTTTAGCTACCCTTCTTGGTGCAGAGTGTTGAATAATGGGATCGTGGTACACYCACAGTAACGTTGTTGTTGCATTCCTCTCAGATTGTAAGTTCAACTGTCATAAACGCTGTGCATACAAGGTTCCTAATGACTGCCTTGGGGAGACCATTGAAGGTGAGGGAGTATATGACTCCTGTTTTATTTATACATTTAAATTCTGCTCAGACTGCATGGATTTTATACAGTCTCTCGTGTGCATGAGTCTACTGTCAGAATTACTAAACTTTCATGTTATTTGTCATTGTCTAATCAAACTAAAACTCACTGGTACTAATCTTTTTATCTTCTCAGACAACAGAAGTAACTGTGGTAAGTATTATCAGTATCCTGTTCGGGCGCTTGTCAAAGCTGCCATTATAGACTAAATTACTAGTATTTTCCCGTTCATTACTACTGAAATGGTAGTAAATATTTGTTGCACTCTATATAAAGTGTAGCCACTTTAAACAAGGTTGATCTCTTTTATTGCGTGTTTTGCCTCAGGAATGTTGAGCCCCAATGCGGACCCTGAAGTACCCATGGACTTCAGCAGCGAGTACGACACCTCAGACAAGTCTTCAATGGACGACTCGGATGAGGCCTGTAGTATCCCTGGGTCCTTTTCTCCAGACAACAACCAGGGCGGGACCACTGGGGACCAAAGGTATAAAAAGACTTTATGCTATGCTACATCAGAAACAAATCATCTGAAGCTCCAGCAGTTTTCTCTTAACCACATTAAAGATGTTGATAAAAAATAGTAATATGTAAGTCCTTTGTACAAAACTTTGGGAAATGAGCAGACACTTAAAAACAACAACAACAACACCTGGGTTAGCCCTATCCTCATGGCTTTATTTTTCAAAACCACAAGGGATAGTAAAGTTTCTTTTTTAAATAGTACTCCCTTCAAGAAGCCTGAATGCAATCAGTTGTCAAAAAAACTATACCTTCAAGTAAACAGATGCACATCAGTCTGATCAATATGCCCAAATATGTCATTGTTTTATGTGTTTTTTATGCTACTCAGTGTTGTATAAAGTACCTCAAAGTGATACTTGAGTATAAGTACAAGTACCTTATCATAAAAACACTTTGGTAAAAGTTAAAGTCTTCTCTAAAACTATTACTTGTGTAAAAGTCTTGAAGTATCTGATATCTTTTGTACTTAAGCATCAAAAGTAAATCTCTGACACAAAATCTACTTAAGTATTAAAAGTAAAAGTACTGAGTAAAAATGAGCAGTTCTATTTTCCAAAATGACATTTATTCGGAGGTGACTTCTCCAAAAAATATTTTTTTCTAACGGTATGCAGCTAAATTCACTCTATCCAGGAGACACAATTTATCAGGATAGTATTTTTTAAAGTAATAACAATTCGGAAAGAAATAGGAGTAACGACTTTCTACTTCTCCATTACATGACAAAAAAAATAAAAATAAAAAAGACTAGGAACACCCTTGTTTGTAAATGTAGGGCAACAAGATGAAATTAAATTTGGTTTCATAAAGCGTTCGTTGATCAAAGTCACAAATAAAAATTAAAACCAATCTGATTAACTAAGCAGAAATGAACAAAAGGGTTCAGGAAATAGAAGTTGTTATTGTTGATTGTAGCAGAGCTAAAATTTTCTTGGAGTTAGCAATAAGACTGACTACTGGTGATTTTACTGACCCAGTTGCTTCATGAACTAAACACACGACAGGTTCACATGCACAAATAAAATCTTTTTGATGAGATATGTTTCAAGGAAAGCGTTAAGAGTAGTTTTAGTTTTAGGTGGTCTATTTCAAAGGTTTTAAAAATGCAATAATCAACACTAACACTGTCTACTGTAAACCACTGACTCGTACTCTGACAAAAACATCTTCTCAAGCACAGGTTTGACCTTTTTAAGCATCTAAATCCTCTTTTTCGTTCTAGCGCTAACATCCCGTTGATGAGGGTGGTTCAGTCGGTGAGGCAGACAACTCGGCGATCCAGCACAGCCATCAAGGAAGGATGGATGGTTCACTACAGCAATAAGGACACATTGGTAAAAAAATAAAAATAAAAATAAAAAACACTCATAATTCAAGTCTACAAATCCTATATATATTTAAAGCAGTTTATTCTAGTGGACTGACAGAACTTTCTTTACTTCTTTCTATAAAGCACAATAACATGTTTCTTCTTTCATTAGATTTGTACAGAAACAAAGAAAGAAAAAAAAAGCCATTAATGTAATCTGCCTGTCCGGCAGCTTGTCTAACAGCAGTGTCGACCTTGACAGTTTGCTCTCAGCCTTTCTGGTTTCCTTTTTCTTCTGTATTTCTTTGTAAGTGGACGTTTGTGTACAAYTGAAAGACTGATGATGGACTTGACTTGCTGTCAACAAAACAGCACMCAGCTGACATGATGATTCAGTCTAAGAGTCCATTTTCGATCTTTCCTTTCTCCTAATGAGGAAAAACTATATTTGACCTTTAAAGTAATTTATTTACTCCCACAGTCTTTGTCAAACTTTTTCTTCTCTGGCTGCACTAACACTTTTCTCCCTTCTTTCACTTTTGTCTGTTTTTTTCCCCTACTCCTTTATTTTCACCCTCCCGCAGCTCATAATCTCACTCATTTTTCTTCCTATTTGACAACTTCTCAAGCCGTTCCTGAAATTRACTGCCGATCCCCACCAACCCCTCATTCTTTGTCCTCTGTCCGTCGCGCACCTCATTGCCGTGTCTCATTTTTGTTGTCCCGTCCTGTCCCACCCTGGTCCCCAACAGAGGAAAAGGCACTACTGGCGTCTGGACTGTAAGTGCATCATCCTTTTTCAGAACAACACCTCCAACAAATACTACAAGGTGAGCACGTCATCATATTCTTTATTTTGTTCATAMGGAATTTCTCACTAAAAACATGCATGTGCTTGCAGGAGATCCCCCTATCTGAGATTCTGAAGGTGCGCCCTGCCACTGACTTCACGCTCGTCCCTCAAGGCACCAATCCTCACTGCTTCGAGTTAATCACAGGCACGATGTGCTACTTTGTAGGGGAGGACCCCAACACCCTCCCCTCCGTGTCCTCCAGCAATCCCCCGACTGTCCCTCAGACYCCTCCCTCCCCCAGTCTGGTGCAGCCTAACAGCGGCATTGGGCGGGAGGTGGCGAACGCATGGGAGAGCGCCATTCGCCAGGCTCTCATGCCAGTCATATTTCAGGATGCCCCGCCAGCTGAAGGCAACACGCCTCACCGTAAGCTCAGCTTTATGGTGGTTAAGGGAACGGGTTAGACCTTTAGAAGTTGGGTTGTGTCTAAAGGTTATGAACTGTTTATATCTTAACTGTTGTTGTCAGCCTCAGTCAGGGGCGGAGCTAGACTTTTTTTTTTTTGCAAGGGGTGGCACAGTGGTGGCCAAGGTTTCTATTTAGAGGGGCTCATTCAAATAAAGAAAAGTGCTCTGGATTTGAAAATTCAAGATGGTCATCCCAGCTAAATCCACATGGCTTTAATTTGGCTGTTTCAAGAACCATTGAACTGAATTATCAAAAAAAAAAAAAAAAAAAAAAAAAAAAAAA